CCTACCCCGCCACCGTCCACCGCACGGCCAAGCCCTTCAACCCCCTGCTGGGGGAGACCTACGAGCTGGACAGGCTGGAGGAGCTCGGCTTCCGTTCCCTCTGCGAGCAGGTCAGCCAGGCCTGGGGGGGTCGGAGGAGGAGCTGCCCCCCAGCCCTGCTCCTGTCTGGCAGGGGCAGAGCAGGGGCAGCCCCGGCCCTTCCTCGGCAGCAGGACGTGCCCGTGGCCGCCTTGCAGAGCTCCTGTGGGAGGGAGGAGGGTGCCCATCACCTGGAGCTGGGCGTGCTGTCACATCTCAACACCTGATGAGAACAGGAATCCCTCCCAGCCATGCAGCAATGCCCCCAAAATGTTTCAGAGTGTTCTGGGGCTGGAGGGTGTCTCTGGGTCTCGTTTCTTCCTCATCAGACTGAAAGGTTTTAGTTTCAGAGCCTGGGGGCAGCCCTCAAAGCTCAGACAGCCCCGTGCTCCAACCACAGCACATCTGGCAGGCTCAAAACAGCCCAGAGACCTGAGGGCTTTTTGGAGAGGTGTCAAATGGGAGAATCATAGAAACATTAAGGTTGGAAAAGACTTCCGAGATCTTCAAGTCCAACTATCAACCCAACACTCCCATGGCCACTAAACCATGTCCCCAAGTACCATGTCTGCATGTTTGTTGAACCCCTCCGGGGCTGGGGACTCCAGCACCTCCCTGGGCAGCCTGGGCCAAGGCCTCACCACTCTGCCAGCAGAGAAATTCTGCCCAAGATCCAACTGAAACCTCCCCTGGGGCAACTTCAGCCCATTGCCTCTCATCCAGAATTCTTGCTGCTAATCTGGCCAGGCCGTGCTGCACACATGACACATGGACAGGGCATGCTGAGAATACTCAGTGAGGAGGCTCAGGCTTGCACCAGCGTCCCCATTTCCCCCCCAACATGGTTTTGCTTCTCTCAGTTCCTTGTCAGAATCTTCTCCAAGTCATGGCCCTTTGTAGCCAGGTTTGGAGCAGCCGCTGTAGCAGGTGCCATCTTCTGCCATCAGCTCCTTGCAGGACATGCAGGTGTGACCCAAACCCCTCCATGGTGGTGTGTTCCCAACCCTGGCAAACTCTTGCACAGCTCTGGCCTGAGGCAGGACAGCTCCTTCTGTCCCATCCCATGGCTCCTGGCTCTGCTGCTCCGGGCCGTGGTGGTGGTCAGGCTCTGTGGGGTCTCCTGGACAAAAGGAGAGGTCCTTCAGTAGATAATCTCCAAGATCTGTGTCTCTGCTGTCCCTTCACACCATCCAGAGCTGCATCCAAAGATCTCAGCCAGCTTTGATCATCCCCAGGGATGCCCATGTGGTCTGTCCCAATCTTGGGAGCTCGTGCTCTTGGCTGCAGTGAGCCAGGGCACTGCTGACCAGAGTGGAATGAGCTGCAGGGTTATTGTGCCCTCCTCTGAAAGATCAGACCTTCACCTGTGGAGAACAGGGTCCCTTGCCCTCCCTGGGCCTGGGGTGGTGACACCCATCGGGTACCACCGGGCATCCCCCACCACAGCACTCCCCACCTTGCCATCCCTTTTCTCAACCCTCCTTTTCCAGCTTCCTTCTTCCATCCATCTCCCCTCTCAAATAAATAACCTGTCCTGAATGGCTTCTTCTGGTTGGTCTGGATTTTGGTTATATCTGGACCCAAATTTGGCATTTCTGACACCTCCACCTTGGCTGAGCTGGAGGCTGGACTGAAGCTCTGGGTGCAGCCTTCCTCCTGCTTCCTCCACCTCCTGCTTCCCTCACTGGTGCATGAGGTTCATCCGAAATTCAGGTTCTGAAACAGCAAACCTGCTGCTCACAGGACTCTGGGGCCTTCAGGCCATGAGCAGAGCTTCCAAACCTCCCTCGTGGAGCCATCTCAAGGGACACATTTCAGCTGGCAGTGCCTCGGGGCACTCAGCCTGTCCTGGCAGCAGGACAAGCCGTGGTGGTCCACGTGGTGGTCCCAAGGGAGGTGGTGGCCCCTGGGCCCCGGGGCTGAGCCCATTCCCATGCTGGAGCCCCGTGGGTGTGCTGCTCCCACCCTGGAGGACCTCTCACAGTGGAGGGTGTTGTGGTGGTTCCAGCCCAGCGTGGCTGTAGGGGCAAAGCTGGAGGCTTGGCTGGGCAGGTCTCTGTGTCTCAGACAACTTGGGGACTTGGGTCCTCTGGGGGTTCCCAGGCAGAGCAACGGGAGGTGCTGCTGTTACACGGGGAGTCCTGGGGATCTAGGCTGGGTGTTGGCACACCCCCGTTTCTCAGCAGGATCCCTGGAGAGCAGGGCTCTGTCCTCAGGTACAGCATCATCTCACCGTGGGAGCTGCTCAGGGTGAGATCTTACAGATGACACTTTGCTAATGAGCATTAGGAAACCCTCCCAGGAGCTCCAGGTACCTCCACGTGCTGCTGGGAAACCTCCTGGGACGTCACCCCCAATGCCCAGGGGAAGCCTGGGGGGGTTCAGGCCAGCACAGAGAAGCATCCTCGGGGCCCAGGCTGGCGTGGGGCTCCTGCCCCTCCTGGGAGTCGTGCTGTGAGTGCTGCCCAGGCTGGGGTGCTGCCAGCTGTGCCCTCACGGGGTGTTTCTCCTTTCCCCTAGGTGAGCCACCACCCCCCGGCCGCCGCCCACCACGTCTACTCCAGGCGAGGCTGGACCTTGTGGCAGGAGATCACCATCGCCAGCAAGTTCAGGGGCAAATACCTCTCCATCATGCCACTGGGTAGGTGACTTGAGCAGGACAATCCAACAGGATCTCCTCTGCCCTGGACGTGGGAGTTCTGCCAGCTGCCCGGGGAGGCTGCTGTGCTTTGGGAATCTGCTCTTCCCATGGGTTCCTTTCTCCCTGAATGAGATTTCTGAGTGAGCTCCCTGCTGGTTTGAACCCTCTCCCTGCCAGCCAGATGTAATAAGCTGCTTCCTTCCAAGGTTTTATTTGTCTTGTGCCTATCCCTGGGCTGGGCAGCGTGCCTGGGGCTGGTCCCAGAGCTCTGCTGGTGCCTCTCGTGATGCTGAGACTCAACCAGGCAGCACGTTTGTGACCCGCTTTTAAAACTGGTACTTCTGCAGGGGTGGGAAGAGAGCAGAGGATGCAGCTCCCTCCTGCAGCAGAGCACGGAGGGATGAGTCCAGCTCCATGGGTTGGGGCTGATGGTGGGAGATGCAGGTAGACGAGCCAGGTTGGCTCTGGGGACAAGCATGGTGCCAGGGTGGTGGTTTGCTCCAGGGGACTGAGCTGAGGGCACCGCTCTCTCCACAGGTGCCATTCACCTCGAGTTTCACTCCAGTGGGAACCACTACGTCTGGAGGAAAGTCACCTCCACCGTTCACAACATCATCGTGGGCAAGCTCTGGATCGACCAGGTCAGTGGCTCTGGGTCCAAGGCTGGAAGGGCACTGCCCTCCTGGGGTGTCCTACCCATTTGGGAGGGTGGCAGGGGCTGGGGGAGGCTGCCTGGAGCTCCTGGTGGCCCTGCCCCAGGCCAGCAGTTCCGTGGGGCAGGGTGGTGACACGGGCAAGGGGTTTTACCTGGCAAAGCCATGCTGAAGTTGGTGTTCATTTGTAGCTGCACTACAACTAACTCCTGATTTATCTCCTTGCCAAGTCTCTCACTCGCTGTGGTTCTGTGTCTTTTATCTAGTCTGGTGAAATAGAGATTGTTAACCATAAGTCAAAAGATAAATGCCAGCTGAAATTTACCCCCTACAGCTACTTCTCCAGGGACGTGCCCAGGAAGGTGAGTGTGCAGCAAGCTCCCCACTCCTCCTGGCAGCCTTGCGTGGGGTCAGACCCGGCTCTTCCCCCTGAGCCAGGCTTGTGGGGTCCCAGTGCCAGAGCTGGGGTGAGCCCCAGCACAGGGCTGAGGAGCCATGCTGGCACCTCGGGCATGGGTTCACCAGGGAGGGTTGGGGGGAACCTCCAAGCAGAGCCCCTGTCTTGGTTCTCCGCCTGCTGGAGCTGCAGCACTGAGACCTGGGAAGGGTTTGGTGGGCTGGAGACCCTCCTGTGTGGTCAGGGCAGGCCCAGGTTCCCCCCGGGGTGGGCACAGCTGGTGCCTCAGGGTGTGCAGTGCCAGGCCGGGCTGCTCCGCTTGGGACACCTGGGGGGTGTTCAGCCCTCCTGCCCCTCTCCCTGTCCTCTGGGTGCTTCCAAACGCCACCAGAGCCATCTCCTTCTGCCAGGTGACTGGGGTGGTGAGCGACGCCGATGGCAAAGCCCACTATGTCATGTCTGGCACGTGGGATGAGAAGATGGAGTGCTCCAAGATCGTGCAGAGCAGCCACGGCAGCACCAGCACGGAGGGCAAGCAGAAAACCGTCTACCAGACACTGGCTCCCAAGGTCCTGTGGAAGAAGTACCCCCTCCCGTGAGTCCCCTCTGGGCACGGGGTGCTGGGCTCGGGGTGCCACAGCCGGGCAGGGCATCCTCATGTGCCCAGCCCCGAGGGCGTGGGAAGGGGACCCTGGGGCTTTTTCCGGGGTGTGAGCACAGCGTGGGAGGGGAGAGCAGGTCCCTGCAAGGGGAGGATGGCTTTGGGGACCTTTGCAGGTAGGTTTTGGGGGTATTGGTTAGATTTTTTTGGCGTGCTGGCTGTGGCAGGGAGATGTGTTGGCTGCTTTGCCTTGCTGGGGGGTCCCTGGCCAGCCTGTCCCACCAGTCACTTGAGCCTTCTGGTCCTCTCTTGCCATTCTTACCCACAGCAGGGCTGCTCTCAAACCAAGTCCTCAGCCTTGGGTGGCACCAGTGCCCTGCTTTGGAGATGCTCTGTGGAAAGCAGCCTCCACTTGGTGCCACCAGCTGTGCAGTCAGGGATCCAGCAGCTCCGGGGTGAAGCTGTCACGTCTCGGTCATGTCCTGCGGCACTCAGAGTTGGCAGTTGGCTTCTAAGCTTCCCTGCGTGGAGCTCTGGTGGAGGGGGGTTCTCTCTTCCTCTCCAAGACACCCCTTGAAGCATTGTTGGCATCTTCAGGAAAGCAGCCTCCACTTGGTGCCACCAGCTGTGCAGTCAGGGATCCAGCAGCTCCGGGGTGAAGCTGTCACGTCTCGGTCATGTCCTGCGGCACTCAGAGTTGGCAGTTGGCTTCTAAGCTTCCCTGCGTGGAGCTCTGGTGGAGGGGGGTTCTCTCTTCCTCTCCAAGACACCCCTTGAAGCATTGTTGGCATCTTCAGCGGGAGGGTGGGAGCCAGGCCCCCCCCCGATATCCCCCCCACCCCTGCCTGGGGCAGCGGGGGAAGCCTCCGCGGCGGGGGGG